TTCTATGAGACTTGTCGAGTCATCTGAGAGTAACATGTGAAAAAAATTACAGCTTATAAATTTCAGTAACCATGGTAACAGAACAGTTGATAAAATATACATCCATTTTCTAGTCTTCAAAGAGAATTAGTTCAATTATGCATTGTGTTTGTGATGTCATGCATGTGTCATGCAATTAACAGGCAGGAAATGGCCTGACACCAGAGAAATCAAAGAACCTTAAGAGCTGTTCCGTTTTCAATGATTTAGTCATGTTAGTTGGTATCTGTCTTTTTTTTGACGGAGGTGACTGCGTCACCGTTTGCTTTTTGCCTCTGTCACTGTCTCAACATCCTCTGACTTAATACCAATTTGCATTTGAAATATTAGGATTGATCATTTGGAAAACTGATGCTAGTTTTCTCACCAAGCTACTCATCACTAATAAAAAAACCACTAGCCACTTAAGCGTGTTATCCAAAGTTGTGATGTGAAAAAGGTTTTGTTTTTTAATCTCTTAGTCACGTTGCTGGCAATCGATCACTGTCAACTGTTGGTGTCATACTCCCACTGATAATGGTGATGAGGCATTCCTATTAGTTATTGGAATTTATTTTTGAAAAAGTGAGATTTTAAAAATGTATAATAAAGTCTGGGAATCTTTTGTGATTGTGTCAAGAATGGCTCTTTGTTGTAGGGCTCTGAATTGGGTTGTTGTTTTAATGGGCAATTAACATATTGCTTAAAACCTGGCAAAAGACCCTAGAAGATTAAAAGTTGATGCTAGGAATTAGAATGTTTTTACCACTAGTGACTTGTTTTCAAGCTTTCTTGACCTTTTCAGATGTACAAAGCAACTGATGAAGCATAATAGGTGTTGTATGTCTCATAAGAATATATAAAGGTGACTAAGCTTGTCGTGTACAGTGACTAATTGTAATGGGTGGTCAGGCTCGCTAACTTAGTTGATGAATGTCATCATATCCCCATTGCATAGATTGCTGTTCATGATGTCAGTCACTGGATTGTCTGGTCTAGGGTTGATTATCTACATACAACCCTCATGTAGCTGGAATGTTGCTGAGTGCAGCGTTAAACAAACAAACAAACAAACAAACAAACAAACAAAAGAATATATGACACATGGCACTTACTGTAACCTAAAATGACTCAGCTATATAATTAACTACTGACTACATCGTTAGAGGGTGAATTGTGATCTGCTAACGAGCAGGAGAGGGCATATTTCGTATTGATGGCTCAATGGGGTTTGTTTCCTTGATTCCCATGATTAGTAGTTAATCCAGACAGATGTTAACTAAACTCTAGTATGTATGCTTGACTTGGCTGCTTCATCCCAACCATTCAACAAGCCTTGTTGCTCCCTCTTGGAAGAGAACAATTGAGTTATGGCATTGATTCTGGACACCGAGATGTTTGGGAATACACTTAAATGCAGCAGTTGTCAGTTGTGATGTATTTTGTGGCTGTGTTGTAAAGGTCAGTAACTCACACAGGGATTGTTACATTCATGAAGGGCATTTAGAACAGGCCAGGAAATCACTGAACTAAGTCTTTATTTAGTGAGAGATTGTTGTGGGTATTGAGACCTTGGTGTTATATACCCTAGGCTATGTTTTAGCTGACACGGACAGATATTTGTGAATTATATTTTTTGGTTGGACTTGTGTTGTTTTCCATAAATGGTTTTTGGTTGTTATGGCAACCAGTCATTCTCCTTTCAGTGCCTTATGTGTAGAATATAAGGTTTGTGCTTGGGACTCTCTGAGAACCAAATATGCATGAATAATCTTTGTTCATTTAACAGGTAGGAATTGTATATTGTTATGCTGATATATAGTGTTATGTATATCAAATACACATGTAGTTACATTTTGTGATCATGATGTTAATACTAAGATGATTTTGACATTATTGTAGAAATGAGTTGTATGAACCTCCTGTTCACCAACTACAATTACAAATTGGCACATATTTAATGAAAATCTACCATTTGATTCGTCATTTTAGTATTAACAAGAATATGTTCATGCAGAACATCAAAGTTCCCTGCCATATGTGATGCCTCAGAAATGCACAATTATGATGTTACTGAGGTAAGAAATTAATATTTAATGTATGGAAAATTAATTGGGAGTCAATGTAGGTTGAATATGCTACACAGAGCTTCTTCATGGCAGAAGGGAAACGCATGAAGCTGCATAATTATATTTACCACAAACGAAACAAGGCTGGTATGCAAAAAATAATATATATTACTAGTCTTTCTCAAAATAGTTGCTCCATTTGCTTAGGGTAGGTGTATTTTAAAAAAGGTAAATTGTATGACATGGATGTGGAAAAGGTAAACTTTGACCTATCTGCTACCATATGTCATACAACCTATGCTTGTTGTACTTAACAGACCCTGTGTCAGACCTGGTTGATTGTGTAACATGATACCCTGACTGCGTGGGACATGAAATATCAATTGCTGGATTATCTAGTTCAGACTAAATTATTTTCAGGATGCCTTAATATTGCTAGAGTATTGCTCGCCATGCTTAGTGTGGTGTTGTTTAACAAACAAATTTATTTAAAAGGGTGGGGATATTGATGATTCTACCATGAATTTGGAATTTACTCGATTCTGATTGGTCAATCAGAGGCTATTAAATCACAATAAACCCACTCTGATTGAAACAGCTGGTTTCATGGCCGCATCACCGCGGAAGCTAATATTCATAGAATAGTACTATTTTCAGTCATTGTCGGTAGGCATATTTAAATAATTATATCTACAATTACAGGTTACAAAATGCACAGATGCAGTTACTACAATATTCAAAGAATGTGTGGCAATATATTTCATGCTGAAAACACGGTAGAAATCAACAAAGGGAATGTATTTACGTTTGGGAGACGAGAGAGCTTGGAATTTTGACGCTTTTCTATATACGACTGTGACGTCATATCTTTTGCGTCACAATGAGCGATATGATGTCATAATGGTGACGTGCGATGTGGAGCGAAAGCCTTGCAAAGATTGCTTTGTTTTCTTTAGGTATGCCCACCTCATGTTAGCTTACCAAGTTGCCGTGCTTATATGCTTTCAATTCCTGTCATATGTTCGAGTGAAGTATTACGGTGTAAACAAACTGCTTGCGTATATACAGCGCCATATTTTGTTTCGATGATTCCGTAATTCAGATCGATAACCCACTCAAAACACTGGACTCAACCCATGCCGCTTCACTCAGTATATTTGCTAACACTAAAGAGTTCGCGTTTTATTTTGTCATGGTAGAATGGAGATAAACATACTGTGTTTTTAATGTAGAGCTAGGTTACCTGGAGATTTAAACGTGCTAAATTTAACATTTGAAACCACACGCTGCGCGTTCGGTTCCAAATTCAATTTAGCGGAGTTAAATCTCCAGGTAACCTAGCTCTACATTTAAAACACAGTATGTTTATCTCCTAATTATCTTCTGACTTCGCTCTTCTTGTTATCATAATGATCAAAGGCGAAACAGAAATTAAATTTCAGTTAAAAAACCCCACAATGTCATTTACATCAGACCTTTTCCTCCAAAATGATACCCCCTACGTGAAGATCATAGGAAACTCGATTATTAACATGCTATAATCAGCAGTATAAAACAAGTCTCTCTCATGCCCAAGAAATGTATTACTGCATTAAATGCTAACTACTGTGTTTATAACTCTACTGATTCTTCATGATGGATCTGTTTATCACATGGTAAAGATGTTTACCTCTTCTTAAACATGTCAATGTTAAACAGCAGCAGACAGCTATATGTCATTACAATGTGAAAAGGTTTCCTTTGCATTTCTAGTTATTAGTGCTGAGGAATAAGGTCTAGACAATATTGATCTCTGTAGTGGAAGGAAACTCAGTGTAATGTATCTGAATTAGACAGATCTTTTGTCGTACAGCTGCAAGTGCTTCATGCTTGTCTAAAACTTGGTTAATAGTACATCATGGTACATAAAGGTGAATGGTGGTGGTGGGGTAGGCTTGCTGTTGCCAGGTTATCCTGCTAAATGGGGACATTATCACATTGGGAATACACAGTTATTTTCAGTAGGACTGATATTGAACAGTGGTTTATGATGTGTATTTCCATTTTGAAATAGAGGTCTTTACTCGTTGTCACCCATGTCAGTTGTGCAAGGTATTTAGGAGATACATATGAACTGTTGTTTATTATTAAAATGGCTTCCACTGGTTCAGTACTCTAGTCTCCTAGGAGCACTGATTGTGAAGATATTGCCAACATGGCCAAGTATACCATGGGTTTAGAGGTTATTTGACTAGAAACAGTCTGTGGCTTAATCCACTAGTCTGAAGCTTGAGTCAAGTGGAAATTCTGTTTAATTCATTTTAATATAAAACTAAAACTTACTGAAATGATATTATAAAGAGCCATATTTAAACTAATAGACACAGATTTGTTTTGTAAAGAACACAAGACAATGAGACTTTTTGCCTTTAACATACCCAATTACATTGTATTTTGGATTATTTTTAGTTTTGATATTGGTTGGGTATGTTGGTATCTATGTAACAGTTATCTTTGTCAGACAGTTATAATCAGATGATGTTCAGTTGTAATTGTTGCCATCATAAGTCTCATTTGCAAATACTTACATTGGATGAAATGGACACCAGATATATTATGTGCAAGTCGAGAAGCACCATTTCTGGTGATCCTTGTTTTTGTCTGTCCTGGACCCATCAGATCCACGATAAGGTACTGACCAGGGTCCACTTGCACATTTGAAGCGATCTTAGCGCTACAATTATCGTGAATCTATGTTGATGTGTGGGAATTACGATCGTCGTAGCACTAGGATTGTGTTGTGGGATCCAGTAGCAAGTGTTCAGATTGTGGTTGTGTATTGCTGCAATAGTGTAGTTTGTTAGGCTTTTTATTGTCATTATACCAAGAATGGCCTGAAATATCAAAACCTAATATATGTTCTGTCTTTTGCAGGAAGTAGAACAGTTCCTCTTGGATTGGTCCACTTTGATGGGTTTATATTGGAAACCTGAATCCCCTGTTCATGGAGATTGGTACATTCCCAGCCATGGCCTTCAGCAATATATTCAAGAAGGCAACAAGTCTGCTGGGGATTGGGGGTGATGCACTCAAGCCTCCACCCCTAGATGGAGAAATCATCTACTGTAAGAACAATGTGTGTGTTCATCCGCCCGCTCCTCTCTCTTTGGATGCAGAGCATTATCCAGGATACCTCACCCTCCGGGCACATGAAGACAAGGTACTCGACTTGTCTGATCTATGCTTTGGTTTGAACATGTTAAAACTTCATAAAGTTTCGCAAGTCTTCAACATTATGTTTATGATCATTTCTTTATTCTGTGGCATTTGATACAGAGGTTGTATGGTACAATCCATGTTATCCCCGCAAAAAACTTGAAAAATAGAAAATTAGCACAAATTCAAATAATAATCTCAACACTATTACTTGTTGTGAGAGGTGGCTATGTTGCATGGGGTGGTCGGACACAGCGACTTGGCTGATTGTCTCATTTACCCAGGCTGCATGGTAGAGCTGAGTATCGCCTGGTGATACGATTCGTATCATGATACAGACTGATGATACTACCGGTGTCGCAATACACCACATCAAAGAGTAAGAAATGGTGAAATCACTGAAATACAGCTCTACAACCTCTTTCGTCATTCATTTATTTGTTGTCATTTCAAAAGAAAACCATAAGAACAAAACAGTTTTAAATGAAGGGATGATTATTAACGTAACAGTTAGACTGCACGTCCTCGTCCTTGTGTGTGTTCTGCCATGCTTACAGGTGGTGCTATGCTACTTCTTCTAATATGGGAGGTAACTTTTACTTCCCGGTTTTAGTGTATCGCGATCTCACAAACTGACGATTCAAGCATCGTGTGTACCTTAGTATAGATGATATTGAAGGTATCGTGAATCGTTACAGCCCTACTGCATAGTATGTTGCTAATTCTATTGGTCACTGGTTTGCTAGCCTCAATTTGATCATTTACCAGCTGCTGTGGATAGCTGGAATATTGCTGACTTGTGTAGAACAACAAACAATTCAGACAACATGTTGGAGAGGCTGGAGTGATTGATTTAACAACTGACTGTCATATTTTATAGTAGTAGTTTATATTCATGATATTTTAACTATGCTACTCATTTCATGGGGATATTCCTATTCAATCACATGTCCACCTGATTGCTTTTGTTCCATGAAATATGAGCAGTGATGAGTTTGTCAATAGCAGTGAATTATATGTGTATAATATTTCACTATCAATTTCAACAGATGAATAGTATATTTACAAAACTGATTAACAAATGATGACATGTTTTGAAAAGAATGAATTAATATCTTTTGCATTGTTACTTATAAAAACAATTAAATGGCAATTAGAGCTAAGTCCCCATCAGAAAGTAGATGCAGCACATATTACTAAGGGTAATAGATTGAGTGTAAAAAACTTTCGGATCATTGCACATATGGATGTCAGTGCTGATCATGCTGATTGGTCAATGAAATTATATGACATCACATTGCTTCATGACATCACAGATTGATTGCATTATGTCACTTGAACATATATAAACTTCCTATTTATGGTGGGAATTTCAGACACTTTTCTTCATCTTGAGTATTGTGAAGAATAATCTACTTGAAATTCAGAAGTAGAGATTATCTGTCACTTGTGGATGCATGGTGTAGTACCTAACCACAGGCACCATTGAATCATCACTCATTGTAGCTCATTGGTTAGTCTCTCTATAGCTTACAGCTAGCTTCCTCACCTTGGCTATCATGGTTACAGTGGTGAGTTGTATGAATCAAGTCGTTGTCAGTATAGACAATATGATCACGATATGAGTGATAGCCAGCACCACTAGCTGCTCAAATTTTCATTTACCTTTGCTCATTTTAAGGACAAAAAAGACTGCATGTAAACAAGTGTAAGACAAAAAATAATTACTTCTTGCTTTTAATTAGTTTCCATTTTGAGCAAATTGTTGAATCATTTCTGTCTGGGAATTATTAACTTGTATTAATTTCATGGTGTCCTGTCCATAACTTGTTAAATCTACACATTAATCTATGATTATTTCAGGCATGTGGGCCAACTCTGATTCTCACCTGGATACCTAATGCAACACTAAAAAAGAACCCAAGGAGCATTGAAAATAGCCCCAACAAGTCAAAGGGCAATACACCCCGAGCCAGTCCAAGACGAACACCCAAACAAGAGTTTGCCAAACTCGACCACGGTTCTCAGCTCACCCCTTCTCCCAGCGAGTCGCAGTGTGACTCAGGAATTCTGGGGGGATCGGACATTTTCGAGCGACTTGAACGTTCCCTACCTCGTAGAAAGAAACACAGTACAGACAACACGAGTCTGAGCTCTGAGATATCGGTGGGATCCCGAGATGATAGTGTTGAGAGCTGGAACCCAAGTGAAGAGTTCACCCGGGATGGTCATCGTCTCAGCACGAGCAACAAGTCGCAAACAGATTCAGGCATCGGACCAGAAGAGATTATGACGAGTCAAGGTTATGTGCAGAATAACGAGAAGTCCCTGCCAATAGGAACAAAGCCAAACAAGGTTGGGATTAATGTTAATGATCTGCATACTGAGAAAGGGAAGAGTAATATGGAACAAAGGAATCTCATGAATACCACTGTTAAGGAGGAAGAACTCTCTTCTCCTGATAGTGATGGACTTACATCAGAAGAACAACTGGCAGCCATGTTGAAACGAAATAAACTTCATACAAAAGCTAGGGAGAGAACAGACTCCAATAAATCTGTCAGTATTGAAATGGATGGGGATAAGTTGGTTGTTGTTACAGAAGAAGTTGGTGATGATGCATTTGTTGATAAGAATACAGATCTTTCCGAGAGGAATCTAAACAAGAATGAGAGCAAGTTTGATATGAGTAGCTCCCCTTCCACTGACGTAGATTCTGCCAGTCTTAGTTCCGACTCAACCCATCCTTCCCCTTCAGGGGCCCACTATGACACTATGCTGTCTGAACTGAAAAAAGACCTGGAATCACAAAATGGTTTAAGATCCGGTGAATATCCCTCGAAAGAATACCCCTTGAAAGAATACCCCCCTAAAGAAACAGTACAAGTTATGCCAACTGCGAGTAAGACTCCCAATGAACTTGATTTGAGTGGGTTTACTCACCCGCCACCAAATACCCCAATTCTTACTCCTGATATTTCTGTTACGCGGTGTCGGAACACATCTTCCTCTTCCACAACGACTTCTGGTCCGGATTCTCGACCTCCGAGTCCGTACACGTCCGATGACTCGGCCCCCAACTCCCCTGGTAAGGAGTACTCATCTTCCAGTTCCTCCGCAAGTGTGTCCCACAATCTCACCTTCCCGGAAAACTCGGTGGCCTATTCTTGTAATCGGAAAGATAAGAAATCAGCCAAAGAACAGATCTGTGGAGTCTTCTCAGTTGATTTAGGTAAGTATAGATCTGTATTCATATATTGTGGTTTCGATAATAATCAGTGAATGTAACAACTGCAGGGCCTGCTCTACCTCCATAAACATGATGCAGCTGAAATGTATATTAGCTGCATGAGCAGTGATAAGTCAAACAAGAATTTTTGTTACCATTTTATGGCAATTAATGTTGGTTATGTCAAAAGTGAATGAAAGTTGTATGACATCATTCTTTTGGTGGAGTCATCACTCTGTGCAAACTTGTGGGATGGCTGTGGAACAGTATCGTTTTTTATATTCATTAGAACAGCATCATTATGATTTATTTTAAAGATGTGGGTTTGGTGTGTATGTAGTAAATATAATCAAAATAATTTTACTGTAAATAAAGGTAGTCTCTTCGTCTAGTCTCTAGTCTACCTAAGTTATTTTTGTTGAGACTATGAATAGCGTATGCACATTTAAGAAATACTTGTTTCAAAAAAATGTAAATACTTTTGATTTAGACCTGGTGACATACTTTAACATAATTTACTGGAACTAAATGTACCAAGTAATACATGATCAAAAAGTTGTTGCTCTGAAACAAATAATTGATATCATTTGGTTTATTGTTGAACAGCATCGGGTTTTTTGAGACATTTGATAAGTTACTGATTCTTCTGTTCTGTTCATGTGTACCATGTGCCATGTGTCACTGTAGCAGTTCTACACCATGGTAGGGACCATGAGAGTGGCTCAGTTGTTGAAGGCAGCACAATTGCCTGTGCAAATTGCCCCATTAAGCAATTGCTTATGTATTCCAGAAACCTATGAATGTGGTTTCGAATCCCAGTCTCCCAGATTATGTTTCTAGGTTGTCAGTCCTATGCTCATGCTTGTGGGTTTCACCATAGGGGTAAATGTCTGAGACCTGCATCACTTAGGGCTTTCCTCCCACATCAAGCTGTAACACTGTAATATAACTGGAATACTGTTGAAAGTGGTGTTAAAACCCAACTCGCTCGATCTCTCCCTCACTCCCTCACTCACTCACCCACCCACCCACTCACTCACTCATGGGTATGATACAGAAAGCCGCCAAGACCTGCATCCCTTTGGGCTTTCGCCTAGCATTAAGATATGTATGTTGTATGTGTGGTGTTATGAGCAGTGTTCCCGCTGGCTTTTGAAACTGCCAGTCCTTGTGGACTGGCAACTCTAAAAAATACCAGTCTCCCCTAATTTTTGCCAGTCCCAACTTTCAACAAATAGAAAAATGTATGAAAATTATTTGGTTTTAATTCTTTCAACATAATGTTCAGTGCAAAGATGTCATCTCTGAAGGAACTTAGTTATATCTGTACGTCATTCACACAAACTTCAGTCACAATTTTCTCTCTTTTTTTTAATATTACCAGACGAGGTTGCTACAAAAGGATATTTAACCTAGAAATAGACCAGGGGAACCCTGATGGTAACAGACAAGCTGACTTTGTTCTAAAAATATACTTATACAAATATCACCGATGTTTTGTTCAACAAAGAAGGATTTATAAGGTGCTGTATTTGCTGGTCCACATGGTCCAGTCCATGGGGACTGGCAGTCACATGAATTACTGGTCCAAGCCTTATTTTACCGGTAGAAAACTGGTAATTACCGGTAAACAGGAACACTGTATGAGTCTGTTGTGTACAGGTCAGATGCGGTCTCTGCGGCTGTTCTACAGTGACAAGGAGTGTACACGGGGCCAGGTGGTCATCGCCAGCAGGGAGAGCCAGTACAAGATCCTCCACTTCCACAATGGAGGCTTGGATAAGTTGGCCGAGATCTTTGAGGACTGGAGCTTGTTTGCCAAGGCTAAGGACAAGGTATCAAAACGAAAAGTAAATACAAAGACATGTCCAGCTACTGTATGGTGTGGCTGTGTTCGTAACAGTGGATTCATCAGTGTCATAAAGGATAGTGTCATGTAATGTGTGAACTTTAAATGTTGCTGCTGTTTGTTTGTAACAGTTTTAAAGATGTAAATGGACTTTCCATGCAGTTGTTGTCAGTCTTGTACCTTATTGTCTTTGTTCCTTGTGTGATTTGAGAACATATATCTAATCCTGACACATAATTATTCCATTGACAAATATATGTTATATTTCTAGTCCCTTTTTTACTATTTTTCACCATAACATAAGTATGATGTTTGTTTTATGTTTGATATGTCAATTTCATGGAAACTGACATGACAATTAAGGTACAACACTGATTCAACGTCATTCAGTATTGACGTACCAACCAGTGTTATTGTTCAACAACATTTGATGGTATGTCTGAACCCGACAGGTGAAGGAAGGTGAGACCCCGTACCGCCAGTTCCTCATTGTGAAGCCCCAGATCACAGACGACCAATGCCACCCCGAGGAGGGCGTGTACGCCACAGTCACCGAGGAGATCTGGAGGGTGCACATGAACAGGGAGGGCATCATTGAGGATGACTATCAGCTGAGGAAGGTTAGGATACTACATCCTTTATAAACATAGTTAGATCAAACAAATCATGTTAAAGGCAGTTATTGCAGGACAGCAGCCAAAGGGAAGTCAGTTATGTTCCTACAGCTTTGAGTTTCTAACCGCTGCTTTGAATAGCATTTCAGTTATGTCATGGTGTAAACTTTATCTGAGAGGGAAGCCCAGTTGATCCTGGCTTGAGTAAGGGATATAACTCTGCATGGGGGAATTCTGGCATCTTGTGCACCTCTGCTTGCCGCCTACTGTTCTTGTCTTGTGCCTTTCGAATGTTGGATAATCAAAAAGAAATTTGAGAGGACAATAGGTGCTGTCAGAGACTTTCAAAGAGACAATATTTGTATTGTACTACATCATTATTTTCTTTATATAAAAGAAGGGAAGGCAAAGAACCTCCAAAAATATGTTTTGGTCAAAAGAATATTATGAACTCCATACCAGGAACTGTCCTGATACATTGTTGTGCTGTTTCATGGCCACCTGCTGCTTCCTTTGAACAGTGTGAGTTTCCTGTTAACAGTCGAGTATCCTGTTTGATGATCAATGGTAGTCCGTAACTTGCATATTCCTTTCATTTTTAATATGCCAAAGTTTATCAGGCCAGAATAAAACCTTTTTGTAAATTGTTGAGTCTGACAGTAAAGTAATATGTTTCATCATTGCTGGGGGGCACAGGTGGTCCAGCTGTCTAAGGTGTTGCAATTTGCTGTGCAGAGTTGCGTCCTTGGGACACGCCAGAAACCTATGATTGTGGGTTCTAATCCTGGTTCGCCCCGATTATGTTTCTAGGTTTGTCAGCACCATACCCGTGCTCGTGGGTTTAAAAGCGGTGTTAAACCCCAACCACCCACTCAGTCACTCACTCAGTCACTTACTCAGTCACTCACTGCTGTTTTAAAATATATCAATTTCTAAAAACTTTTAAATCATGATGTTATCCTTAATTGGAACCATTTTCCAGGAGGCTATTTTTATCAGATGCATTTTTGCATACTGCTTACAAATATACAAGAATTAATGGAGGTCTGACATTATTTGTGACCAACCAGGAGGAAATGGACCTTATGGGTGCTAGGCTACAAGTGTACTGCGATGTCATAAAGATGTTTTGACATCAACTTACTTCAGTGAAGATTGCCATGTGTGATGCCATGTATCTCTGTTATAAATATGAATTGAAGCCTGTGAATTGTATTATTGTGTTCAGAAGATGCTGTAGTTTTAAAATATAATGAAAAGTAAAAATGTGATTTTTCACCCATAAGATCCCTTATCTCATGGTTGGTCACATTCGTCTTATATTTTTCTTCTTGGGTTGGCTTCTTTCTTTTTGCCATTATTGCTTCTCATAGAATTTTATTACAGGCTTAGATAATTCAGGCTGTTATCTTTGTCCACTTGTCCTGAACATTTTTGTTTTGGTCATTTTCTAGGCTATATTTTTTGGCGGCCTTGATCCGTTGTTACGTCACGAGTCCTGGCCGTACCTCCTCCACTACTTCCCCTATGACTCCAGTTTCGATGAACGGGAACAGATCCGCAATGACAAGTTCATAGAGTATCAAAATATTAGGAAAATGAGGTGAGTTACTTCTGTATTTGTTGATCTAAATGTTGACTGTTAGACTTCTATTTCCTATTGAACTGATTATGCACGAAAGGGAAGTAATTTGGTTATACAGAATATTACCTACCTTTGGCCATAGTTGAAAACTTGTTTGTTGTTTTGTCACAGGGACTCTATTTATATTAAGTCATGTATTTTTTTAATAAGTCATGGACATGTGCTCTAATATTACCTAAGGAATCGATCCAGGTTAGAATTGGTCTTCAGCAACACATATTAAAATTCAACAACAATCAAACATCCTGAATATTTTTGAAACAATATATAACAAGTACTGTCCATTACAAGAATCTCCCACTGGGAATTTTTGTACACAATGTATCTACAATTGTGATTTGCAGCTGCAAAGTTTAGATTTTTGATGTTTAAAAACAGCTTGGATGTGTCTGAAAGTGGGTTGTCCTTGTACTCCAAACAAGTGGATTAATTGTCACACTATAAACAGCCACATTGCCACTTGGGTTTGTTCACTATCAGGCAACACTTTTTTTATTTCTTGGTTACGGATTTCACACACTTTGACACGCTTTGATGGTATCAGAGAAGGATCCCAGCTAGAAATATTAGAGTGACTTCCCTTTGCTTTACACTTGACAAGTAAACGAAATCTTTTTTTGTTTGAAATTTTTATACATTCTTTTAAAGTACAGATCGGTGGTAAGAAAAAAAGGAGTAATTTAAAAAAAAGAAATTCAACATTTGGACTTTGAAAGAGCAGCAAATCTGTAAACAAAGAAATAAAAAAAATGTCGCCTAAGGTGGTAGTTGTAGTTGAGTACCTAGCTGATGCATATCACTCTGTATGTATGATTACAGAGAGTTAATGACATTCGAGGAACAGCAGCAGTTCTGGAGGATGATCCAGTGCACTGTGGAGAAGGATGTGGTGCGAACTGACCGAAGCCATCCTTACTTCCGCGGGGACGACAACCCCAACATTGAAGTCCTCAAGTCAGTACACAGATCAAAACACTTGTAGTGCAGCACATTGATATGTTTATTAATAATAAAAAGTACTCTTGTGCTTGATGGCATGAATATCTTTTCGATATCTTCAACATGATAAAGCTTGATGTGGTTTTCAAATATTGTAGCATGTGTTTTCTCTATAACAGTCAAATCCAGGGTCCATTTTAGTGCCAGGTGCAGTCTATGGTGCTGTAAAACATTATCATGTTTTTGGCTAATCAGGTCAAATCATGATACCTCTATTAACATGTTTATCGGTAACAATGGGGATTGACATTAGCAAGCTGTCATATAGCTGGAATATTGCTGAGTGTGGCGTTAAACAACAAACCAACCAACATTAGCAACTTTGTTCCCCACAATTAGTATAGCAGCTGACTATAATGGTGATTGGGTGTAACAGTGTCCCACTGAATCCTGAGTATGAACAAAGCTTCGATGACCACTAAGTAAGAAACCATTTGATTATCAAAGGTAGGGTGGGGTTAGGGGATCGTATTTGTTTCTAAAGAATAATCAAGCCCCTATTTTACTGAAAATATGTTACATGCTTGCATTGTAGGAAAAGAAATAGATGTGCCCTTTCCTTGCAGGGGTGTGTCCCAGGAACAGTTATTTCCTATTTATTTGAAAACAAATTGAGCACCTGTTGGGAAAAAATAACTGTGCTGCTAAACATAAATAAAACTGGTGTATCATGTATGTGTATCATAGCTCCTGCAAAACAGCCACACAACATCTTTATCATCTCCTTGCTGGTCTTCCATACAGGACAATGTGATTACATATTGCTATAACACTCCCCTTGTATTCAGGAACATCCTACTGAACTATGCTGTGGCCAACCCCTGGATGGGCTACACACAAGGCATGTCAGACCTGCTGGCACCGGTGCTGGCCGAGGTGCAGAATGAGGTTGATGCGTACTGGTGCTTCGTCGGACTCATGCAGAGGACCATCTTTGTCAGTTCCCCCCGAGACAGTGACATGGACAAGCAGCTGGTAGGATGTTTGACTTATGTTTACTCGCTATAAGCTGTAGGTAGTTGCTTCTCATATTACAGTGGGTTTCATTTTCTTGTCATTCCAGCTGCCTGCACATCTTATTAGTTGTTTACCATGATTACTTGGTACCCAGGAAGAAATATTTTGAATTCTTCTGGAAGAAATGTGTACCCATTTTTCCTGTTTTGTCTGGATAGCACCTCTTTGATAACTGCTGTGTAGAATTATGTGTCTGGGATGATTGTCAAATGCATTATGTATGTGATAATATCCATTGCCTTCCAGAACTACTTCCGTGAGTTGCTGCGTTTGATGGAGTTCAAGTTCTTTTCTCATCTGGTGAAGTTGGGGAGTGATGCTATGGAGCTTCTCTTTTGTCATAGGTTGGTAGCAAGTTGTTTTCATATTGTCAGGTTACCAGTAAATTACGTACTGTATTCTAAAATAAAATGATGGACTTAAAAGCAGATAAAAGTTTGATGACAGAGAGTAAGAAGCTAGAAGTTATGGTTAATTCTTCCCAAGTGATTGAGATAGAATTGATCAACTTAAGAACTAATTTCAGTTTGACTTGAATACAAATCGTTTTTTAATCATTACAATATATCAGATGTGTGGATGACCCAAAGTGTTTCATTTAGCAACCTTTTTTATTTGTAGGTGGATCTTGCTGTGTTTCAAGCGTGAGTTTCCTGAATGTGATGCTCTGCGTATCTGGGAGGCGTGCTGGTCCCACTACCAGACTGACTACTTCCACCTGTTCCTGTGTGTGGCCATCGTGTCCATCTATGGGGACGATGTTATAGAACAGAACCTGCCTGCTGATGAGATCCTCCTCCACTTCAGCAGCCTTGCTATGCACATGAATGGAGATCTCGTCCTGAGGAAGGTGAGGCAACTGATGATGAAATCAGGAATCAGAGAAGAGATGTTACAGCTCGCTCTTGGACTATTGTTGTTCAAACGTGTAACCAGTGTTGACAGTAGGTTGTTCTTGAGGATCAACATACACAACATTGCACAATCAGTGTGGTTAGGCAAAGGAGTTGTGATTGGGCGATCACTGAAGTTAAAATTGTGAAACAAATATACCGTATATGACCGCGTATAAGCCGAATTTTGAGGACCAGAAAAAAGATTTTGTAGAAAGGGGTCGGCTTATCCACGGGATACACTTTCATGATAGTATTTTTCAGATCGTGATCTGTCAGAACATCGGCTGAATGACGGTCCGATAGATTACAACTTCCCGAAAGTTTGGAAGTTGCCACGACTAGAGCCATTATTCTTTTAAATTATCAATAAAGTTATTATTATACACCAATGTTGTCATTATTAAAAAATTGTTATGCATGTTACTCCTTCCGATAATAAGTTTTCAATTGAATGTTCAAAGTTTATCGTTCTTCGTAAACTCCACAATCTTTACATGTAACAATATATGTAATTCACAGCTATAATATATAATCCCCAGATAAAATCGCCAATAGCTATTACGTACGTTTTGCAAAGTTCATAAATTGATAGTGAACAAGTGTCTACCTTTATTGAAAGAGGCAAATAAACAACTGTATCGGCAAGTTATTCCGTTCGCCATTTGCAAAAACATGTGATCAGCTGTTACCTGTGACGTCACGAACGGTGACCACTATGATTGCTTCCTGTTGTTTAAAGTAACACGGTACACAAGGAAATGAGCATTGATAATAACGGGCCGATTGGTATTGTCATGTTGTTTACACAAACATTTTCAAGTTGTGGGTGCTTAGCGATCGTGTTGGGAGTAGGGGCTTAATTCCTTTGTTTTCGAGAGATTAGTTTAATAAACTGGAGAAGCCTGTGAGTAAGTGATGGTCATTCAATGTGTTCATAGTATGATAGTTTATTTAATTCAATTGGATTAACATACAATAGTGGTGTAAAGGGGGTTATAAAAGTTGGTATATTTTTACAGACTGAATTGCCTAGGCAGAAGGCGACCTCTTAAACACCTAATGCAACAACAACAACAGACTGACATTTTCATCATGAGTTTTAAACAAAAACGCCATGCTTACGATGCTGAATTCAAACTGCGAGTCTTCGCGCCGGCTGATATATTTTCTCACGGGTTCATAATTCTATATACACCGATTCACAAAATGGCGCTTGGTTGTTGATGGCAACATATAACGATCATTATGAGATTAAAAAACCCCACGAGAAACAGCTTCCCACATTATGAAAGTGGATGACTGGTTTGTTAAATCTTTTTTAGAAATAATAATGACTTTTTCAATATAATTACAACGTTTTTCATCTTATATTTTTGAATATTTGCGAGTACCGGCACATGTCTTGCAGTCCGACTTCGCAGTGTTTTTTGTCTTTCAATTCCTGATTCGGCTTATCTGCGGGTCATATCATTTTCTTTCGTATTTCAATGGTCAAATTAACACCTCGGCTTATCTACGGGGTCGGCTTATCCGCGGTCATATACGGTAGTTGAAAATGCCTGCTGAGTACTTTCATAAAGAACCATATTTTTTTAGTGTTACCACTTGGAGAATTGCCCCTCTGTGTCTTTACTATCTGTGACTGATTTGGTGGCACCATACCAAGACAGAAAGACAATCATTTTGGTTGGTCATTGGTGTGTCTATTCCAGAGACCCTTGAAAATTTAGCCATTTAAAGTAATAATAGTGAGGGAACAGTTCCCAACATTATATGTGTATCCTATTCTTCCTGTTCCTTGTGTAATATGGTGGAACATTGCTCTCTTATCTTCTAATGGCTTGTGTTTCTCCCACTAGGCCCGAGGTCTTCTCCACCAGTATCGGAAGATGAGGAAGATCCCGTGCACGCTGTTTGGTCTGTGTTCTCGCTGTTCCCCTGGTATGTGGGACAGCGGTCACGTGCCCACCGTGGAGTGTGTGGGGCACAGGGAAGGAGATGAATGTCTCTACCAAAGTCAGCCCAGCACACCGGTCACCCCCACACACTGAGGCAGAGGGCACCTGTAGTCTGGGATATACAGAACGAATACAGTACTAACAACACTCACTCTCAAACATCATAGGACAAAAGTGTTACACACCAGAGTAGTAGGATTCAGCAATGATTGATGATAGCATCTTCTATTCTAAACAATGTCTCTCCCATACACTTATTAATGCCTTGGTCGTTCTCTTACAACACACTGAAGGCATCGCAGTGCATTTATTAATGCCTTAGTCGTTCTCTTACAACACACTATAGGTATCTCATGCAGTCATTAATGCCTTAGTCGTTTGCTACAATACACTGGAGGCATCGTCCATGCATTTATTAATGCCTTGGTTGTCCTCTTACAACATATTGTAGGCATCACTCACGCATCCATTGAAGCCTTGGTCGTTCTCTTACAACACACTAAAGGCATCATTTAATCAGGAACGGCTGTTGCAGATGGGAAACATGCTTGGTAGGTCTTTAGACCTTGGGCTGTCCAGCTGAAACTTTCTCAGCCTCTTCATCCCTTGTCATGCTGTTAATTTCACAGTCCACTATCAAATCTTGGTACTTCACTCGTGCAGTATTTTTAGAAATTGTTATGATGAAACTGATAATGGACACACCAACAGGGTAGCTATAACAGTCATCACATTGATACCCAGTTATATTTGTAAAGGGATGATACATGCAGAGAAAACATCCAGTATATGTGCTGGCTTGATATACATAGAACAGTATTGTGGTTTTGACAAACTGGATAGAGCATTCACATGTGTACATAAAAGATGAATTCCAAATACTAGATCATTGTTAGAATATTGTTCTTCCAAATATCCTACACATCATATAGACATCTCTTGATGTCTCCATTAGTGATTGTGTGTCTGGTGTTTGTGTTTTTAGAATACATATAAAGAGTACCTGATATGTTTGCATTGCTTTAAGTTACATGTAACAGAAATGCAATGTCTGTTTTTTTAGACAGGGAATTTAAGCCTGAGGCTGATCTTACATATGGCAGGGATTGACGATAACCATTAGTAACCAATGCCAAAGTAGATTTTCAGATATGAAGACATTTACAAATTGTACAACAGACAGTATTTAAATTTCACACTGTGAAGCAGTTTCATTGAATGTAGGATTTCAATCGGATATTAAAGTGTCAAAGTGTGACATCAGTTGTGAGTTATTAGAGATTATTTTGTTGTTAAGACAATGGATGTTTGTTTATGATGTATAAGCAATGATGTTGAAGTTCTTGTCAACTGTTGTGTTTCTATGGTTACTGCCATGTTATGCTGAGAGATGTTGGGATCCACTTCTCTGACAGGGGTAAAGTACACCCAGAATTACTCCCATGTTATATAGAATTATTGCTCACAGATTGTCAACATATCCAGGGTTGATTCAAGTAGCAGCTGTACATCATATTCACACTGCTGTTACTTTCTTGACTGTGGAGAACTGCGGTTTAGAAAATAATTTTGATTTTCATTTCTTTGCAAAAGCTACTGGTAAAAGTGGTATGCAATCCACAAGAAAATATCACTTGTCCTGAATGATTACTAGTCTCAGACTAGTTGAACTTAGTAAATTTCAAAGCCTGCACCAGTTGCCATGGATAAGAAGACCCTGGTTCAAGTTATAAGAACTGAAAGGACATCTTGCTCATGAAACCAAACCAACATGTATTCTGTCCATTGTATTCTTGACCAAGAGTTTTGATGACAAAAACAGATTGGTCTAGGCTTGAGTAAAACTATATAAAGCTGATTTATGAATTTTATGATTGTTTTACAGTGAGTAAAGAGGTGAGATTTTGGATGTAGAGAAGGGAGTTGTCAGTGATTGGTCCAGTCATATGGTGATACATAATTACATGTATTGTTTTGTGTATATAATGTAGATATATATTAAGGGCAGCAAATGTAAACCCGACTTGTTCACCAGTTGATCAGTGTTAGTCAATATTGATAGTTGATGTGAGAGAGTTCTCTTCCTGTTCTGAAAAAAATTACCTCTTATTGATCTTGGAGATGATAGGGGAATGTCACTGTAGAATTATTCTGTAGGAAGAAGTGTGTTTGTTCATGTTGTTTTCTTTTCAGTATACATGGTATAAATCCAAAAACAAAACTTTGTGAATATTCAACAATATACTGCTATTGGCCATGAATTTAGCAAGGTTGAGTCTTAGAGAATGAATCTTTAACATTAAAATCATAAGTTGTTTTTTTTGTAATTGAGCAAGTAGGATAATTTTGACCAGTATATATGATTAGCTACAGCTCCATACTGGTATGAATATAGTACCAGTAGTAAATGAAGATATGCATGATTTTAAAGTTTTTTTTCGTTTCGAGTTTATATTGTGGTCTAAACCTACAGTTTAGTAGATACTGCTGCCCTTGCTAGGTTTTTGGCCAGGAATGTTCAAACGTTTCATTATTGATTGTGTTGTGGTGTTTGAAACAATTTACAACATGTAACAGTATTCATGTATCATGTATTAAGATCAATTTATTGACGTAGACTAGCATGGCATATGACATGGGAAGGTGTGCAATATTATTTTATTTTGGTTCTGTGATATTCGGTTTGTGACCAACTAGATACTTTAGTTCTCCATACTATATTTATGTAGGTGCTTCATTACAAGAAGGGTAAGATGGAATGTGGTGGGAGGCATGACAATAAGCAATATGATTACAAGGAGAAAGATTGTGTTCTATATTTTCAAGGTGATATACATATATATATTTACAGCCTGCCAAAAGCTTGTTTTGTGTGACTTTTAGACTGCTCATCAACTTGTCATGATACACTGAGATTATTCATTATGGTAATCATTAAATTACAAAATACCACACACCTTGTTGAATGTATTGCTATCGGTTCATATTTAGGCCCTGTTGAAGAACTTCAGTAACATTATATTTGTACAACACAAATGAGATTATTTTGTTTATTTTGTTTGGTTGTTTATATCAATATTTGGTTGTTTGTTTTTATGCGTATTAGTTGTCGAAAATGAATATGTCTGTGTCCAAGCTTGGTTTGAATGTAAACATCCTAAAAGGATTGTCTGGTACTCTGCTGCAAATCATGAATGGGATCCTACTTGAGATTAAAATAGATTTTCAGAGTGGATTGAGAACAGAATCTCTAAAATGCCATATGCCCACAAAGTTCTTGCAGCCCATAGACAGCTAAGAAACAGTCTGTGTTAGAAGTACTGCCATTTGTTTTCATCAGTATTTCCCTGTATGAATTGCTTCGTTTTAATTAAGTCTTCTGGGCAGTTTTATTTGCAAAATAACTGTACAACCCCAGAGAAATGTTGCACATGTTGGCTTTTGAGATCTAGTTAATTTTCACTTGAGATAATTTGATACTGATAAAAAGCAATTAATATGAGTTCAGATCAAATTACCGGTAAGGATTTGTTTTTCTTAAAAAAAAATAATGTTTTATTTACATGATTGACAATCATTGTTTGCATACAAGATGTACTGCCATTAAAAAACATTCCAGGAAATTGATATCTTCGTTTGATGAATAAATTTGCACTCCAATTTGCTTTTCATTATTATATACAAGATTAAGAAAAACAAAAAAGAAATAAGAGGTTCCTGAAATCATTGATTAAGATTGAAAGGGAACATCAAAGACCACTGTGCTCAAATGTTGGAAGTAAAGAGATAACAATCTATTGTTTTTACCTTTTACCTTCAATTTGGGTTTCATAGTTAACAGTATTTTTGTGATGATTTGTGATAATATGAAATAGTGCATGTCATATATTTAGAACGAAATCCTTTACTCAATAATGCTCATTCTTGTTATTATTTGCAATTTATTTCATGTCAGGCCGTTTGTCCTGTGTCTGTTCAAGGGGGAGTTTAACTCACCAGCCATGCATTCCACTGTCCTCCTGGGACGAGGATTTCTCCACTAGTCAACTAGTCAGTCATGTCAATAAATAGAGTCACAATGTTCTGTTTCAGTAGTTTCTTTGTTCTGAATTACACAAATGCGGTCTGTGAAGTCAAAATGCAATTCACCGTCCAGAGTATTATGGTCACCTGCTGGATACACTCCAATGTTAGTCTGTTGGGCCTGCCCTTGTATGAAATGCCAATACACACGCACAAAAAACACATATTCCTCACATTTGCTGTGGTAATAATTTATCATAACACATGATGAATGATTTCAAAGCACAAGCACAAATATTATGACAAGCTGCCACAATGCTCATGGCTACACCAACAACACACTTCCAACATGCATCCCAACTTGATATTTAGATAATGAAAAACACGCAAGCCCAATTTACCATCCAGAGAATTATGGTCGCCTTCTGGATGCACTCCCTTTTTAGTCTTCTGGGCGTAGGTTTTGTTCAGATGCAATTTTATATTGGTTTTCAAGAAGGGAATGGAGGACCTGGCTTACCTGAGTTCGACCCTTGTCACTATCTTGTCACTATTTACCTCTATAGTACAAAAGTGTTGTTACTACAGCAACAAGCCCTCCAGCCCTGTTCAGCCTGCTTGCCTCTGACGTCAGCTGATTGTTGACGCAATCGCTCTGTGATTTCAACATGGGTTGTGACGTAGCTCCATTGTCTGCATCAGCGGTTTCTGCTTGGCGACCACATCGTTCCGTTCTCGGCCGTTTGCCAAACCGTGTGTATCTTGGCGTCGCTCACCAGCATTCTGATAACTGGACCGGGTAGGATACCGTTTTTATACCCATCCTGCTGGCAATGTGTTGGTTGTGGCGACGGCTATCCGAGTACAGGCACTGTACATAGCTCCAATCAGTCCCTAACAAGCACATTGAAGTCCCGGGAGGAAGAATGCAATCTCTATAACATATGCATCACACTGCCTTACCCTGTACACTCACCACTACTATGCATCAATGCCGTCATGTTTGATCAACGTCTGTGTCTGCCTGCTGCGTTTTCAAACGTAGGAACGGTGAACCGTTCAGAAAGTGTCTACTCTTTGGCACGTGGTAGTTACGACACATAGGGATTCATATTGACTGCAACTGAGTGATTTTAATTCCTTAACTGGGACGCAAATTCTCAGATAGGGATATTGGCAAACTTCGCTTCCGTTGTATACACTACTTTGTGCAATATGAACCAACTGCCAATACACACACACAGAAATATACATTCCTGACTTTAACTGTGATATCAATTTATCTTTACACACGGTAAATGATTACAAAACACAAGCGCACATATTTTGACAAGGTAGAACATAATGCTTAAATGCATGCTTCAAACAACATTGTTCAACATCTACTCCAATTAGTTGTGTCATGGGTTAGATAACTTCATTATTCCTCTATTATCTTATCAATCACCACACACGGGTTAATTTGTACAAATAACAATTAGTGCTCAACAAGTAGGAAGATCTTGCTTCCAACACCCGCTCCAATTTGTTAACACATTTAGATTTGGAAAGAAAGGCGTCAGACAAGCGCAATTGTACATCAAGAGAATTATGGCCACCTCCTGAATACACTCCCAAGTAATGATGTATGTTCTGTGTCACTATGTGTGATTTTTTTCAGAATGTATATAAGTTCTATTCTCATGTTGATCTCATGGCGAGTGGTCTTGTTCAGATGCGACTTTAAATTGGTTTTCAAGAAGGGAATGGAGGACCTGGTTTACCTAAGTTCAACTCTTGTCCCTATCGTGTCACTATTTGACTCTGTAGTACAAACGTGCACAACAGCAACAGTAACAAGCCCGCCAGCCCTTTCAGTGCCGACAGTCTGCTTGTCTCTGACGTCAGATGATTGTTGACGCAATCGCTCTGTGATGTCAACATAGGTTATGACGTAGCTCCATTGTCTGCATCAGCGGTTTCTGCTTGGCGACCACATCGTTCCGTTCTCGGCCGTTTGCCAAACCGTGTGTATCTTGGCGTCGCTCACCAGCATTCTGATAACTGGACCGGGTAGGATACCGTTTTTATACCCATCCTGCTGGCAATGTGTTGGTTGTGGCGACGGCTATCCGAGTACAGGCACTGTACATAGCTCCAATCAGTCCCTAACAAGCACATTGAAGTCCCGGGAGGAAGAATGCAATCTCTATAACATATGCATCAAACTGCCTTACCCTGTACACTCACCACTACCATGCATCAATACCGTCATGTTTGATCAACGTCTGTGTCTGCCTGCTGCGTTTTCAAACGTAGGCAAGTGTCTACTCTTTGGCACGTGGTAGTTACGACAGATAGGGATTCATATTGACTACAACTGGGTGATTTTAATTCCTTAACTGCGACGCAAATTCTCAGAAAGGGATATTGGCAAACTTCGCTTCCATTGTAAACACTGCTATATGCAATATGTACAAAGTGACAATACACTCACAAAAACACATATTGCTCACATTTGCTGTGGTAATATTTTATCATTGCACATGATGAATGATTACAAAAGACAAGCGCAAATATTCTGACAAGCTAACACAATGCTCATGGCTCCACCAGCAACACATTTCCAACATGCACCCCAACTTGATAACACATTGAGAGTTCAACTCTTGTCACTATTTACACAGAACAGAACAGTTTATTCTCAGAAAGGGATATCGGCAAACTTCGCTTCCATTGTAAACACTGCTATCTGCAATATGTACAAAGTGACAATACACTCACAAAAACACATATTGCTCACATTTGCTGTGGTAATATTTTATCATTGCACATGATGAATGATTACAAAAGACAAGCGCAAATATTCTGACAAGCTAACACAATGCTCATGGCTACACCAGCAACACAGTTTCAACATGCACCCCAACTTGATAACACATTTAGATAATGAAACAAACGCACACGCAAGCGCGATTTAGCATCCAGAGAATCATGGTCACCTCCTGGATGCACTCCCTTTTTAGTCTTCTGGGCGTAGGTTTTGTTCAGATGCGATTTTAAATTGGTTTTCAAGAATAGAATGGAGGACCAGGCTTACCTGAGTTCGACCCTTGTCCCTATCTTGTCACTATTTACCTCTATTGTACAAACGTGTTGATCACTACAGCAACAAGCCCTCCAGCCCTGTTCAGTGCCGACAGTCTGCTTGTCTCTGACGTCAGCTGATTGTTGACGCAATCGCTTTGTGATGTCAACACGGGCTGTGACGTAGCTCCATTGTCTGCATCAGCAGTTTCTGCTTGGCGACCACATCGTTCCGTTCTCGGCCGTTTGCCAAACCTCGTGTAGCTTGACGTCGCTCATCAGCATTCTGATAACTGGACCGGGTAGAATATCGTTTTTATGCCCATCCTGCTTGCAATGCGTTGGTAGTGGCGACGGCTATCCGAGTACAGGCACTGTACATAGCTCCAATCAGTCCCTAACAAGCACAATGAAGTCCCGGGAGGAAGACTGCAATCTCTATAACAAATGCATCAAACTTCATACCCTGTACACTCACCACTACTATGCATCAATGCCGTCATGTTTGATCAACGTCTGTGTCTGCCTGCTGCGTTTTCAAACGTAGGAGCGGTGAACCGTTCAGAAAGTGTCTACTCTTTAGCACGTGGTAGTTACAACAGATAGGGATCCACAGCTACTACAACCGAATGATTTTAATTCCTTAACTGGGACGCAAATTCTCAGAAATGGATATCGACAAACCTCGCTTCCATTGTATACACTACTTTGCCAATACACACACAGAAATATACATTCCTGACTTAAGCTGTGATATCAATTTATCTTTACACACGGTAAATGATTACAAAACACAAGCGCACATATTTTGACAAGGTAGAACATAATGCTTAAATGCATGCTTCAAACAACATTGTTCAACATCTACTCCAATTAGTTGTGTCATGGGTTAGATAACTTCATTATTCCTCTATTATCTTATCAATCACCACACACGGGTTAATTTGTACAAATAACAATTAGTGCTCAACAAGTAGGAAGATCTTGCTTCCAACACCCGCTCCAATTTGTTAACACATTTAGATTTGGAAAGAAAGGCGTCAGACAAGCGCAATTGTACATCAAGAGAATTATGGCCACCTCCTGAATACACTCCCAAGTAATGATGTATGTTCTGTGTCACTATGTGTGATTTTTTTCAGAATGTATATAAGTTCTATTCTCATGTTGATCTCATGGCGAGTGGTCTTGTTCAGATGCGACTTTAAATTGGTTTTCAAGAAGGGATGGAGGACCTGGTTTACCTAAGTTCAACTCTTGTCCCTATCGTGTCACTATTTGACTCTGTAGTACAAACGTGCACAACAGCAACAGTAACAAGCCCGCCAGCCCTTTCAGTGCCGACAGTCTGCTTGTCTCTGACGTCAGATGATTGTTGACGCAATCGCTCTGTGATGTCAACATAGGTTATGACGTAGCTCCATTGTCTGCATCAGCGGTTTCTGCTTGGCGACCACATCGTTCCGTTCTCGGCCGTTTGCCAAACCGTGTGTATCTTGGCGTCGCTCACCAGCATTCTGATAACTGGACCGGGTAGGATACCGTTTTTATACCCATCCTGCTGGCAATGTGTTGGTTGTGGCGACGGCTATCCGAGTACAGGCACTGTACATAGCTCCAATCAGTCCCTAACAAGCACATTGAAGTCCCGGGAGGAAGAATGCAATCTCTATAACATATGCATCAAACTGCCTTACCCTGTACACTCACCACTACCATGCATCAATACCGTCATGTTTGATCAACGTCTGTGTCTGCCTGCTGCGTTTTCAAACGTAGGCAAGTGTCTACTCTTTGGCACGTGGTAGTTACGACAGATAGGGATTCATATTGACTACAACTGGGTGATTTTAATTCCTTAACTGCGACGCAAATTCTCAGAAAGGGATATTGGCAAACTTCGCTTCCATTGTAAACACTGCTATATGCAATATGTACAAAGTGACAATACACTCACAAAAACACATATTGCTCACATTTGCTGTGGTAATA